ACATGACTCAGGGACATCTGACAACCATATTTAGTTTCTGTTGTGGCAGTCTTTCCTCATTCTGAAAAGCTCACCAAATTTTTGTCCACTGTATCAATAGTGTATATGTGTATGTATTGGGTTCTGCATTCCTCTCATTTGGGGGAAGTATAAGACTTATAATATTGGAAGCATTGTTTTTCATTCAATCGCATTTATTAAAGGCAAATCTTTTTGCAAAAAATTTGCAAAATTTAACTGGAAATACAAATTCTTTCAACCCTTCAGCAAACAATGAAAAAATGCAAAAGAAGATTTACTCTGGGTCTGGGCATGTCCAGCACAAATATTCTTGGCATGCCCAAAGCATGTTCTGCAAGAGAAAACTTGTTATGTGTCTGAGCACATTCAAAGTAGATACTCTACGCATGCACAGAACATATTGTGGAAGGGTAAAATGTCACTTAGTAAAGGAAGCATGCTTTATATGTCCTGGTACACTTGCAGAGATCACATTTGACATTTACTTTTTAAAGTCCTGCATGCTTTTGAAAAATAAAAAGTTATAATTTTGATGTTTTTTACATCATTGGAGATACTCTTCAGTATCTTCAGTATCTAAGGTGGCAAGCCTCATTGAAAAGAATATCAAATGCTGATCATCTTTTATGAAATCTAATATCAGTATTTTGATAAATGGAAATGTTGTTTTTTTCAACCAGGTATTTGATTGCTATAAGCAATTTTCATGGAGCAGCAGTAGAACATGAGAACAATGTAATATAGTACTTATCAGACAGTCTATGAAATTGTTAATAGCTCCCCGTGCCCTGTAAAAGACCTCTGGTAGATAAGTGATTGGTTTTACTTCTTACATGAATATACGATTTATGACTACAATTGACCTCGAAATTTCTGTTGCTAAGTGAGAAAGTTCTTAAATGAATTTTGCCCCATTTCTAGCCACATTTCTTAAGTGAATCACTGCAGTTGTTCCGTTAGTAATACAGTAGTTAAGTAAATCTGGCTTTCCTGTTGATTTTGCTTGTCAGAAGGTTGCAAAAGATGATTACATGATCCTAGGACACCACAACCTTCATAAATACATGCCAGATGTCAAGTGTTTGAATGTTGATCATATGACCATAGGGAACTTGCAACTGTGGTAAGTGTGAAAAACAGTCATAAGTCACTTTTTCAGTGCTGTTGTAACTTTGAACACTCACAAGATGAACTGTTGTAAGTTGAGGATTACCTGTACCAATGGTTGGTGTTCACCTTAAAAGATTGTATTTATATTTTGCAGTCTCTAAATTAACACTGCCTAGAAAGCCTGCAGTTCAAAGGAGAAGAGTGTATTTATATTACAGATATCTGAGAATTTATCAGGTCTGGAATGTGGCTGTAGTTCAGTTCTATCAGAGAGGCTGAAGTATTTTCACTGTGTAATTCAAGTGAAAACTGGCTTGCTTGTGATTGCAGGTTTGATTTTGGGATATGAAGGGGCTAGAAAGAGGTACATATTATATAATGATGTGTAATTCCATTTCTTTGGAAAAAAGTGATAATCATCTAATATCATAAAAACATTCTTCTGATTTTGACTTTTCTTTACATTTAATAATACATTTTTAAGCAGGTAGGTGATCATTTCCACATAGCCTTTCAGTTATGCGGAACTATGAAACTAATCTAACTATTTATTATAGATCTGGTCATGTAAGAAATTACAGGATGTGGAAATTCCTTATTTCAAGACAGAAGAAAACATGATAAAAAGCTCCCAAGAAACAGGTCAAGACCTAGCTTTCCGGGCAGAGGCTTATAGTCTTGATAAATCCCAAGGGTCAGTTCCCTAGAAATAAAATACTATGTTCTGCCTAGATTATCTCTAACAGTTTGATCTCATAGATATTACAAAATGTTTACAAAGAAACACAACAAATGCTCCATCGTATTGATGATCAAAATATGCCTCAGATACTCCTTTATTTGACAAGTGAAATACATTGATATTTTACAGCTAGAAATATTTATTGCTAAATGGCCATTTAGGCCAATATTTTTCAGGGCTGTAGTCACATTTATTTACATAGTATTCATGAGTAGTTAGACTGAATTGGAGATTTGAAAATGGCTATTAGCAAACCCATATGGAGAGTATATTAGTCTGAAAAGTTTGAGGATAAGGATGAAGAATGGTATACAGATTAAAGATTACAAATCTAAGCCTATGAAGGGCTGTTTTTTACCCTCAGAAGTTCCAAAAGGTACCTTCTGACCAAATGTGTGTGTATAGAATTGAACAAGTGCTGAAAAAAAGAGGGTGACAAAAATAAAGACAAATTAAAAGACCTTTTTAACCTTTCTGGTTGATCTTTAATGATGCAGAACAAAACAGATGCTGGAACATCCTAGTTGCTTGATTGAATAAGGCATTTCTATCAGCCAACTTTTTAATGAATGTTTTCTTTAGCTCTAAAATTCAGAATTGTGATGGTTTTAGAGGAAGATTTCTTTTCAATCTGTTCAGGGCTATTTCTGCTATTACTTCAATTATATTGGCATCAGCAATATAATGTTGAGGCTTTGAACAATGTTTTTATTCAAGACCTCAACAAGAAAGACTATTGTTTCTATTGCTCAGAACAGTAATTACATCAAGGGCTTCTTCGATGAATGCTATTTCTATGAATTGTGACACACACCAATTACCATTAATTTATCTATTACCTGCCAATACCGCAAATGTGCAAATGTGAAGAAAGATGATCATGAAATGGATGTGCAGATTCAAAAAAGTGAAAATTTGGCTTCACTGACTATAGAAAAGTCTTTGAATGTATCGAGCTATGGAATATCCCTAGGGAAATGGGAATTCTACAACATCTTATAATCATCATACAAAGCTATACAATTGCCTATATTACACCGCTGCTGAATGACGTGCACTGGCTTCCAATTTATTTTTTCTTCTTACAGTTCAAGGTAATGGTAGTTACCTATAAAGCATGAGTGTTCATGAGTGTTTGCCTGGGTTGCATAGAGTGAAGAGGAATTGCCTTGGGCTGCATATGAAATATATAATATAATTAACGTGTTTAAATCATCTAATAATGTTAAAAGGTTTTACAATGTTGTGGGTTCATGTTATTACCTGTCACGGGCTTTAATGGCAAAGGCCATTAAAGGGACAGCCTTCCCTGATGTTACTTGCCCAATTCAATTAGGGTGGGTATATTCCTGATCCCTTCCCTTAAATATTATCATCTGATGGGACCTAAAAGATCCACATTCTTTGTAACTGCCTCTATTCTATAGAATATTTTTCCTTTGAGATCTGGCATGCTCATTTTTTCTAGTCTTTGCCCCCACAAAATGGGAGCAATAGATACTGGGAACCTATCTTGCCACACTGCAATTTTTACTAAGCAACCATAATGAGTTACTAATACCTTTTTTAGCCTATTAACAGGTTGGACAAAATAATTCTATATGTACCTTCTACTAGCAGATAAAGATCCCAATAGATATAGTTGTATCACATATTATATTTTCTTTTTAATGAAGTCTACAATTGTGATTCACAATAAAAACTTACTGACTTAATTTTATGCTACAAAAATAGGGAGAAACTGTATTTATTCCTTTTTAAATTATGATGCTGTAAGTAGAAGGCCACTTCTCTGAATTTCAATGTTGCTATGTTTAGTGAGTAAACATTTGATCTAAGATATTCCAATCCACTACTTGGTTGTTTTTTTCTTGTTATGCAGTAAGCCCTCTATCTCATAGCAAACTCATGAAAATAGAAACCTGGTTATATGATAAAGTTCCTCTTTTGCCGTGACATATTGCAAAAAGCTGTATTAGGCAACAAGATGAAGTAGCTTTGTCAGAAAGCCAAATTTACCCGAAGAAAGTGATGTTCAAATAGAGAAACAAGTGTTTTAAAGTTTATAGCTTTATCACTGAAGCATTTCATACTCCACTTGAATCAGAAAGTTGCCCGGAGACAACACTAGGAATAATTGGAGGAATATTACAAACTTAAAAGTAGCCTTAAGGCAGTTTGAATCTCTATGATACTTTTATCTTACCATCTTAGATCCCACCTTACCATTTCAATGGTGGCATGGTTATGTTTTGCTTTATTTTTACCAAGGCAAAGACAGCATTCTCCTCATAGTAGTATGGATGAATAAACATGTAATGGGTGTTCAGCTTTGTGATAGGCAGGAACATGACAAACACTCTTGGAATAGCATGGAATTGTCTCCTAATGATTGGTTACACAACCATTATAGTCTTGCCAACTTTTGTCTTGCAACATTACACCTGCATGTACAGGCAAATTATGTTTAGTAAGGAAGTAGTCCAATCTTTGCATATGCAAGGAGTCAGGATTCCAGAACTGATTTTGTTTTTCTACTGAGAACTCCAGACATAAAAAATATTTGAAAGCATATTAATAAAACACGGAATGTAAGAAAGCCACTTGCAAGTTTATTTGAATATTGTTCCGTAGGTTATATTTCTTAAGTTCTAATATGCCGACTTTAGACATAGAAGCTAGTGTGTGCTTAACTGTAATCTTTTCGGGGTAAGTCCTACAACATTTCATGCCATATATGGCTTACAAGCGTGATAAAAGGGCAGAACAATAGCTTTTTCTTCTAGCCTTAGTTTCGTCCCCTGGAACCTATAACCTCGGCTGCACTGCGACCCACCGCATGCGGACAGCCCACCTCTTCTCCCCCCCCCCCCCGATGCCAGGGTGGGAAGAAAAAAATGGGAGAGGCTGGTAGCAACTACTCATCTCTCCTCCCCTTCCCCGCTTCTCCTTTCAAGATTCGCTGTGGAGCGGAATAACTTTTTCCTTCGACCGCCTTCCCTTCCTCCAGTAGATGGCGCTCCGGCTGATCTGAATTACCAGACAGGGTAAAACAGGGCAGCGATTGGCTCCTCCAAGAATTGACGTCTCTGTCGGGGTGGGGAGAGGCGGCGCGAGGAGAGCAGTTCAGTGCGTGTGACTGGCCCAGCCCCTCTTTCCTTTCCTCTCTTCTGCTCTCCCGCCGGGCGCCTGAGGGCTATTTTCTTAGCGGTTCGGAAGATCCACTCTAGTTCGGCAACGGATCTCCGCCGTCGCCGCTCGGGTGCCCGGGAAGCAGCCGCTCCATTCTGCCCATCTCTCGCTCGCATTTTGGGCTCTGCCAGCTATGACCAAGGAGGAGGAGAAACCGTTCCGCCAGTCTATGGCCGAGTGGCGGCAATTCATCTACAACCGAAACAGCGGAGAGTTTCTGGGGCGCACGGCCAAGAGCTGGGGTAAGGGCGAGTGGCGGGAGCCCAGCGAATGGGAGGACGGGGCGGCGGGACCGGCTTGGTCGACCTGGAACCCCGGCCGCTTTGGGTAGCCCCGGACTGAAAGGGGGACCACGAGGCGAGCGAGCGGCGGGCCGGGAGACTGCCGCGGGCGCCCAGCTAAAAATAGCCCAAGCGTGACAGCACGAAGCTGCGGGAGGGGGCGCCTGGAACACCCCCCCGCCGCCGCCGCCGCCGCCGCCGGAGAGGTGGCTTGGCCCTCCCCTTCCCTCCCCTCCGTTTCTGGAGGGGGAGGGCAAAACCGTCTGGCAGATGCGGGCTCCTTGGGGGAAGGAAAGGAGGGTGTATTTTTTTTTAACGCGTGTCCCCGTCTGACTGCCCGCCTTCCTCTTCCTGCTGGTCCCTATCCTCTGTCGGGGTTACAAAGGGACCACCTCCTGCCACCCTCAGGCTCCTCCTTTCTGGCAGCTGCGTCAATTGGAGGGGGGCAGTGTCTCCTTCTCCCCCCCCCCCCCCCCCCCATGCTAGGCACGGAGAAGGTTTCTCCCCTTGCCTGCTTTCCCTCTTTGGGGAGCGGTTGCTTGCCACGTGCTACACGGTTCGAAGATGCCTCGGTCGGTCTTGGCTATTGGAAGCTGCACGGATGGAGGGGGAACCTTCAAAGCCTCCGTTGTTTTCCACAACCCGTTTTCCTTTTCATCCCGACCGTTCGTTTTCAAGTCTTCCCCCCCCCCGCCCCTCGTGTATGTTTTGGACACGATGCTTTGAATTACCAGCCACTTACAGAAGTGATGAATATTACAAGTTCTGAATCGCGGTTTGCCGTGGAAACTTTAAATTAGTGCGTGGGTGTTGCTTTTAATTACATTCGTTCATCGAGAGGAAAGGTAACATGGGGAAGTTACAAGAAATATGCCAGTACAGTAGAAGCATGGAATTGAAAGACGCGCTTGCCTGAAGAATAACTTGCAACTTCAGTGCAGTGAGATATTTTATCTTTTTTTTTTTTGCTCTTTTTGTGCTTTAGGCACATGGTCAAAATGATGTGGAATAATTGAAAACACAACACATGTGTATTCTATTGCCAAGACCATCTGTCACAGTGTTTACTGTGCTATAAATTTTTCTTCATTCATACAGAAATGGGATTCTTTTCTCTATTTTTTTTTTAAATTGAGGACTAGAAAGGAAATTTCCATTCTGTCCTAATGACTTCCTTTCCCTGATTTAGTTTAAAAGTACATCTACTCACAAGTGAATCTTAACAAGGAACATAGATAAATCTATGTGTGTTGATAAATGGTGCAATGTTCTTTACCATTTAAATTCTTTATGTTATGTATGTATATCAAAGTAATATAAATGGTGTTTCCTTAGAGTATTCCCAATAGAAAAGATATCTGTTGCAAGGAAAAAACAAGTCTTGTATGGATAAATGTTTTAAAGATGTAATGAATTAAATCTTTGACTGTTTTACTTTTTAATAAAAATAGTGATGAAAATGGATTTTCTAAATGGTATTAAAGTGCAGTAAACATTTTAATGCATATCCTGGTAATATGCTTATGGTATGATTTGCTAATTGACATGCCGTCTTGTCATTCTATGTACAAATAAAACATTTGAATTACTTAGTCTGTTTTAAAAGCTTGGCATGCTAATTTATAAGCAATTATTTTATCAATGGAGCCACTATATTTTTCATGTATAAATTATTTTATACATGAAGTGAATAAAATTTAGTTGCAGAGAGATATTTACTGCTTTGACTGTGCAGTGAAATACCAAATCATATTTTTATAGAGGCTAGAGAAAAAATTTGAGAACAAAGTAGATATATTACAAAAATGTTTTGCTTGTATGATCTATGATAGTTCTTACTGCTCTGTGTTATTCATAGCTTCAATACTTTTAGATATTCTGAACTTAATTACATGATTATTTAAAAGCCTTTTTACTCTCACTATGCAAAAAAACCCTTGTTCAATCTTGTACTGGTAATATGTCTATTTAAAAGTAAAACCCAATGTAATAGTCTTATTTGGAAGTAAGTGCATATGCTTTAGAAGCATGAAAGATTTAGAACACATGGGGAAAAAATATCTCCCATCCCCTTTCTGGTTTTTAAATTTATAAACATGCTATCATGAAAATGTATGAATCCATAAACATGTGAAAGTAGGTCTACCATATTTAATAATGATTTTTCTCTTCTCTTCACCTGTTCCTAAATGTTGTTATTCAGCTATTACCTTCCATAGAGTTATCAACTTCATGGAAAGCAGGTAGTTAGGGCAAACTGATTCTACAGATTCCTATAAAGTTTGTATCTAGGAGAGAACATCCTAAATAAACAGCTCCATCAATTTATTGCTAGTATGATTGAGAAGTCAATCATTTTGATTTTAGGTCTGGATCTTAAGCTCTAGAAATAACTTGATTTACTCTGAATTAGTAGGGCAGCCCAATCTGATATGAGTCCTGAATCAAAAGAGGGGCCTTCTCTCCCATAATTATTGTACAGAAAAGTCATCTGTTTTTCCCCACACTAGAATAATATGAAGGTTTTTGGAAAACCAAACCATTAAGTATAGATCAGTGTACCAAGCATCATGGAACTATACGATGATTTCAGATTCTTCTACACCAGCCTAGATAAATGAAAAACAATGTTAAGTTAAAATTTGGATCATAAGAAAACTTAAAATGCATTGAATACCATTTACAGAAAGTGCAGTACAGGTAGTCCTCGACTTACAACAATTCATTTAGTGATTGTTCGAAGTTACAACAGCACTGAAAAAAGTGACTTATGGCCATTTTTCACACACATGACCATTGCAGCATCCCCATAGTCACGTGATTTACATTCAGATGCTTGACAGCAGGTTCATATTTATGATGGTTGCAATATGCCTGCGCCATGTGATCATTTTTTGTGACTTTGACAAGTAAAGTCAGTGGGGAAGGAAAATTCACTTAACAACCATGCTACCAACTTAACAACTGCAGTGAGTCACTTCACAAGTATGGGAAGAAAAGTCATAAATTGGGACAAAACTCATTTAACATATTTCTCACTTAACATAAATTCTGGGCTCAATTGTTGTCATAAGTTGAGAACTACCTGTATATGTCACCTATTTCATGCTGGAGTGGAGTATGTAATCTGTTTCATATGCCTTCCTTATATGTTCATATCAGCCTGACACAATGTGAATTGTAATGAATTTTATAAGAGCTATACTCCAAAACATATGGAGGACACTTTGTCACTGAGCCTTGGATTTTTATGGTTCTCTTCTGCTTTTAGTATTGCCATAAGGAGGATTTGTATTGTTATTATTATTCAGACACAATAAGCTAATTAATTTAAATTGTGGTTAGTGGTATAAACTGGTTTATAACACTTTGTTTCCTTTAATGATAGTCAAGATTACCCACAGTTTATAACATTATTTTAATATCTTTGGGAAAGATTCTTATAACTGTTGTAGTAAAAATATATGATTTACCATTATTATTATACATTCCAATTCTTATTGGAATTCAGTCTGTAAACATGTGGATCTAGAGTGGGCACAGTGGTTGGCAGAATGTACTACTTACCTGTTAAAGCTTGCTGTAATACAGGTAGTCCTCAAGTTACAACCATTCATGTAGAGTTCAAAGTTACAACAGTACTGAAAAAAGTTACTTATGGCCATTTTTCACACTTACAACCATGGTCATGTGATCAAAATTTGGAATCTTGGCATGTATTTATGACAGTTGCAATGTCCCAGATCAGTTGATCACCTTTTGCTACCTTATGACAAGCATAGTAAATGAGGAAGCCAGATTCATTTGACAATCATTTAACTTAATTGCAGTGGTTCAGGCAAGAAAGGGCAAAACTCATTTATCAACTGTCTTGCATAGCAGTAGAAATTTTGGGCTCAATTGTGGTTGTAAGCTGAGGACTGTCTGTATTATCACAACCATATTCAAGATAGGACTCCCCAAAAAAGAATTAATAAAATCTTAGAGTGATAGTTAGAATTCCAAGGTAGAAATCTTGCAAACCAATGGAAAAGACTGGCTCAATCTGAGTTGAAATTCCTTAAAAAAGAGAGATACTAAAAGCATAACTGCAAACAATTCTAATGTGAAAAGAATAACAGGAGAACAAACTAAAACAAATGTGACTGTAATATAGTGGATATCTGAAACAAAAAAGAATATAAGATGCAAAATAGAAAAAGGAAGATGACATACAGGTAGCTCTCACAACCTTAGATGTGTTAGGAGGGCAAACATTCAGAAGGAGCTGGGGTTGGAAGAGTTGCTAAGAATAACGTATCTAAGTATTTCTTTACATATATTCAAAAGCAATTGGAAAGAAAAGAGCAGGATGGAGTGGGTTGAAACTTGATGTTGATAAACAAAAACATGGTCTGCTGAATCGCATCCTATGGTAGTGAAAGAAATAATCTGGCCATTGCCAATTATTTTTGAGAAATTTTAAGGAATGGCAAAGTGGCAGATTTCATTTAAAAAGTATTAAATTCTTTGAGATGTGAGTGTTACATTTTTTCTAAGCTTTACTACGGCTCCTTCTGGGCCATGCCATTCAATGTTTTTGGAAAATAAATATTTTGAACCAGAAATTGCTCAAGGTATTCCAAGGATAGAACATCCTGCAGGTCTGTTTTGACCAGAATGCTCAGACCTTTTCTGGTTTGAAAGATATATTTGTGGAAACTACTGAACTGTCCCTAGAACAGAATGTTCTAGGGGGAAACAGTCTGTTTTTGAATTGACAAATTTTGCACATCCATAATAAGTTACTATTCATGAGATCAGGGTCCTGATTTTCTAAGATATGTTTAAATAGTTGTCTGAGGTCCTACCTAATGGTTGATTTCTGTACTTAAACGTGATGCCTGCTAATTACACAACCTTTTAACATGCTCAATTTGAAATAATGTATAATATTTTAACCCAGAAATCTCCAACCTTTA